AAACCAGGAAGACGTTTGGAAACACAGACCGAAGATCAGTGAAGAGCAGTGACGTCATGACATCAAACTCTGTCTGGGTCCATTTTGTGGAACAGCACGACAGTAAACAGAGCGTCGAGATGGATGGAGACGAAGACAGACGTTCTGTGTTGGCGACGATTCCCAAGATCGAGGATTTAACCCTTGTATTATGTTACGGGTCAATTTGACCCATTTCAGTTTTTGTTTTGACCAAAGTACTGTTTATCCATTTTTTTTCTTCCTACAATTTTGTGACTTTTTCTCATCTTGGGTCATGAACTCGTGTGTGAAATCTGGACTCTTTGATGTGTAGTACAATGTCTGTGCAGAGTTTTATACAAAGATGATGTTGTGGGTCATTTTGACCCAGACACTATAATGTGGGTAAATAACTGTTCAGATCGAAAAATAAACATCTCTTTGATGATCTCTTTTTTGATTTACTTTGTTTAGATTGTCTTGAGACTCAGGTGCAAGTAGAGGCAGAACTTTCTCGCCCTTGTCCTTGTCACTCACTGTCTCTGTTCTCATTTCATTTCTTTGCAAACACACCAAAAATGAGCTCCAGAAGTTCTACAGTTCTAGAAACTTTGGCACAGATATTGAACTGGGATGGTGATGCAGAGGAAGAGATTTCAGAGGCAGAGGATCTTTCAGAGAAGGAGGACAATGTTATTGATGATCCAGATTGTCAATTTTCCTCTGATGAGGAGTATTCAGAGGACGAGTCTGCCATTGTCTCTCCATCAGATGAAGACCAAGGAACGCAGCAATCATCATCCACAGAGGACACATGGGCATCTAAAGATGGTAGGATAAAATGGTCAACATCACCCCTCCAAAGTCGAGGTAGACGCTCATCTTTCAATGTCATCAAAATGACTCCCGGTCCCACAAGATTTGCTGTCACATAAGTTGATGATATTCAGTCAGCATTTCAGCTCTTCTTATCCCCACCAATAGAGAAGATAATACTGGACATGACCAGTTTGGCGGGGAGGTGTGTATTTCAAGAGAAATGGAAGCCACTGGATCAGACTGACTTGCATGTTTACATTGGAATTCTGATATTAGCTGGAGTGTACAGGTCAAAAGGAGAAGCAACTGCAAGTCTGTGGAATGAAGAAAATGGAAGGCCAATCTTTCGAGCTGCAATGTCTCTGGAGACATTCCACATGATCTCGTGTGATCCGATTTGACAATCGTGACACCGGAGCAGGTTGACGGGAAAGAGACAAATGAGCTGCGATCAGAGATGTGTGGGATAAATGGGTGAACATTGTTGAACATTGAAAATGAAGCAAGTCAAATGACACACAAAAAAAAAAGTGTGAAGAGGGAACACTTTAAATTGTTCTTAAATAGTTCTGTTGAAATTAAAAAGTTATTGTTTGTCTCTTTTCTAAATGTTCATATAATCTAAAATAAAGATGTTATTGGTTTAACCTGTTTTTTTTTACTCTTTTGCATGGATTTACAATGTACGAGTCAAAACGACCCGCGACATAATCAATGTAATTTTTTATCAACATAATACAAGGGTTAAACAAAGAAACGAGAATGTTTGGTGAATTTTATCAAAGGAAAAAACGTTATTGCCCTTCTTCCTTCAGGATTTGGTGCATTACATACGTCACAACTGAACAGCAGCGATTGGTTAAATAAAAAAAGTACCCGCCTACTGTCAAGCGAACGAATTCTAATGCTGCGAGGTCAGACTAATAACTGTTTGAGTTGAGGGCCTGTTTACACGAGAACGAGAGCGAGTAAAAATGACTAAATATTTTACCGGAAGTGCCTTTTGTTTGGCGTGTTCTATCAAAAATTACTAGACTCAATCAATTTAAATTCCAAAAATGTATTCCCCTGACAATACAATTCTAATACAAAGCTCTGGGTCAGATCATTGTCCCTAACTGCCTACAAAGTTACATGGGGCTTACATCAGGCATCTGACCCCTTCTGAATACTTCAATCCAGTTTTTATAAACATCCATATGAATATGCAAATAATATGTTGAGCAGGTTCCCGCCTTGAATCGTCGCCTTGAAGTGTCAGCATTTCTTCTTTGGGGGAAGTGACAACCCCGTCCAAACCATTGTAAATCACACCAAGTCTGTTTAGATAAGCCAGTTGTTTATCCACAGTCCAGTTCTGCAAAGGAAATTGCTTAGAAGCACATAGGTCACACATTATGTAGAAAACACAATAGTACTTTTCAACAGATAAGATCTCAGTGTTTAAGCTTCAACTCAATGTGTAACTTCATTAAACAATATTCAAACCACCACTTGATGCAGCCTTCAGTTTAGACGGTGACGGCGTTTATGACACCACCCTCTGCCGTAGCGTTTCCGTCTACACTGCCCAAGACACAAAACAGATAGTGTATCACAGCACCACCGAGTCACATGCAGTTCCACACACTTCTGCGTCACCGTATGCACGCAGTTTTCCTCCCGAAAACTCTTACCTAAACGTGGATTAAAAAGTGAAGACGCTTCTCACAACTACAAGAGCAATTTTCCTTGCCCCAGAATGACATGTATTGGTATTTGCAGATTAGAGATTATTTGACAAAACATCCACAGTGGGATGTTGTAATGAGAGAGCCCACTAATATAGAAATGTATTTTGTTAAATTATTTGAAAAAGAAACCAGAATGAAAAAAATCATATCCTTAATGTATAAAAACCTATCTGAAAACATATCAGATAATACGCTCCATGTTAAACATCAATGGGAACTTGAGATGAATGTGATTATAACAGATGAGCAATGGGAAGATATGTGTTTATATTGTCACAAAGGAATTGGAAGTCAAAACTGGAGAGAGTTTGACTGGAAAACAAAAATCAGATTTTTCAGAACTCCACTAAGGACATTCATGATTAAGACTAACACCACCAATAAGTGCTGGAGAGGATGTGGTTTGGTTGGAGACCACACCCACATCTTTTGGGATTGCCCAAAGATAAGAACATTTTGGGAAAGTATCAAAAAGAAGACTGAAGATACAATTAGATCAGATATTCCAATGGACCCTCTGCTATTTTTGCTTGACTTATATTGTGACAAAGAGGGCCTTTGTCCCCATTTTTCACCTTAGTTCAGTTACATCTATATCAACTAAACAGCTAAATAATAACTATCCCGGGTTTGTTTTATTTAGTCTTTGTTTAATTGATCACATTCACACAGTTACTTTAAATTCATTTTATTTGGTTATATCCCTTCATTTTTGTTTAAACTTACCACCTTTACCTGTGACTCCACATGGTCTGGGAACAAAAGAAAGGGGGGGCGTGTCCTTTGGCAGCCATATTTCTAGGCTCAGGGGGAGGTGTTGGCCCAGACCATGTGGAGGGAAGCCTCGGAAATGGTTCTTTGTTTTATCAAATGGGTTATTAGAATTTTGGTTTCAGTGTATCTAGTTAAGCTGGAGCACTGTTCAGTTTAAAAGGGGGATTAGGCTTCAGAAAATAATTTAAGGCAGCACACCAGTAAGGAAAGGAAATTGCTACAGTTTTCCCCGTAAGTTGGTGTGAACCCAGGGGGAGGGACTTCCTCTCTGGGGGGTATATAAGTAGAGGCAGTTTAATCAGTAGGGAGGTCACCATCAGTGCAGCCAGGTGCCTGTGGGTATTTTCTTTTGTTGTGTTATTTTCTGTTGCTTTTGTTTAGTTAAGCACAGTTCTTTTTTGTAAATATGTATATAATTTTGCCCACGACTTGGAAGGATCCAATAAAGAATTTGGTTTGGTGAAGGACAACTTTGCACTGGACTCTCATTTTGACCACTTGGGCCAGCTTCCCCACATATATCCCAACTCACTGACGACCAACAGTACATTTTACATGTACTTTCACTAGTGGCAAGAAAAATAGTGACCCTGAACTGGCTCAAGCCAAACCCACCAACGATTGCTCAATGGACACAAAAATTGAAGTGCGTTTATCAGATGGAGTGTCTGACTGCCCAGCTTCAACTCAAAATGGATATTTTCTTAAGGCGATGGTCACGTGTACCATCTTTATTTGACTGAGTAGTTTTTTTCCTTTTTTTTTTTTTTTAATGCCCTACCTGACTACTGTACTTAACTACATATGACTAGAGTTATGAGCCAAATCTCGACACTTGTTTTTGTTTGTTCTAATGTAAATTGCCTGTTATTTTGTACTTTTGGCAATAAAGTTCAAAAAAAAAAAAAAAAAAGTGAAGACGCGACGCCACTTTTGCGTCTTCTGTTCAGACCGTCATCATATAAACCTTAGTGGGGAATCTGTACAAAGTAAAGTTGTTTACGATGTCTCTGGTTTAGATTCTACTTTCTTACACAACTCCCGTATGTAGAATTCTTTAAAATTCGTCTTCTAGAAATGTAATGGAAATGAGTGATAGGCTGCATCATAATCATTCATCAGGTTCATTAAATAATACACAGTTCCACTCGGGGAATGGAATGATTATCGCACACGCCAGTGGAGTAACATTAGCGTAAGAATAAAGAACAGAACAGTCACACAGAGTTCACTGATGAGACACAGAGGTGATGACAGATGTGTTCTAACTTGTGTCCTGCTTAACAACACTTACAACGGCATGAGGGGCATGAATCAGTCCGTTCTAGCCTTTTTCAATTATTAGAAAAAAAATGTAAATGCACTAGTACTATACAAATTATTACAGGTAAAAAAAATCACTCTGTACCATACAAAGCATGTCCGTGAATAAGATGTAAAGATGAAGCCTACAGCGTTGCATCTCACAGCAATGATAAACAAAACCCCGTCAGACGTAATTTAAAGCAAAAACTAAAATATATATGGTACCAAATACAAAGCTTGAAAGAATTTGAAATGTTCTGTTAATTGTGGATATTACAAACACTGCACAATGACAGAGTTGACCAGTATTTGCCGCAGCGCGCTGACAGCTGTGGTGTTTGTAACAGATAAAAGTGGACATGTTCTCACCAGGTTTGGCAGCGCGATCATCATGAACGTGTTTCGGGGCCAGATGTGCAGATAATTCGGCTTCATGGCAAACTGCAAAACACAAACACAAGCACAAAGTGACTTCAAGTGACTTTGAATGTGTCCCAGTATTTTCCACATGGAACTTTTTTTCACACAAAGTTAGATTAGATCTCCTTGGAGATAAGCAGGTTACACAGTGCAGCATTAACATTTAACAGTCCGATATTACGGGAAATTTTCAACATATGTTTTAAGGCCATGTCATAATGTTGTTACCTCATCAAAAATATACCATATTTTTCTGACTTTAAGTCACATTTTTTTCATGGTTTGAGTGGTTCTGCGACTTAAACTCAGGTGTGACTAATATATTAAAATATATAATTTCACATGTTCATTATTTTCACTCTGACAGCGGCGAGAGGCTCTGTGCTCGTGTGATAGGATCTGACTCCTATTACTCCTGTACCACTGGAAATATAACATTTTTAGGGCCGGGCGCGTTAACGCGTTAATTTTGCGTTAACTAATTAAGTCATTAACGCCGACAATTATTTTAACGCCGTTAACACAGTTTTTATTATTTATTTTATTGTAAACGTCTGTTTCTCACTGGCTTTTATTTTGAAAAAGTCCACCGCGAGCGTTTCTTTAAGTTTGACGTCTTTTCTTTATACTTTTTTCACTTTTTTCTGACCACGTGAGATGCAACGTGCCCGAGCCTCCGCGAGCCGCGGCTCCGGCTCTGAGCTGAGCTTATTTCTTTAGTTCAGTGCTGGAGTCACTGATTTACCCAGATTCCACCCAGTGGAGCACTTCTTGTCTTACCACATGACATCACAGGTTGGAGTGTTTTCAGTTTGAGAGAAAAACACCTCGTAAATGTGCAGGGTTTGTGTGTTAAACGTGTGAATGAAACAAAACACAAGTCCAGGTCTGTTTGTGATGAGGAAACAACATTATAATATCAGAAAACATATCATCTTGGCCGTTTATCGTTGTGTTTTTCCTTTCGTTGTGGGTGTGTTTGGTGTGGTTCTCACGTCTCCGTCTCTCGGGGGCATCGTCAGCTCCATGTACCCGTGGGGGATGTACGTTTGGCTGTAGTTGAATCGACTGCGTCTCAGAAACTGTTTCCGGATGGAAGAAAAAGCCCCATCGCAGCCGACGATCAAGTCTGCCAAGATCTGCTGCTTTGTACCGTCAGCTCTGCAAAACAAGAGAGAAGAGACCAGGACTAGACCAGGACCAGACCAGGACCAGACCAGGACCAGACCAGGACTAGACCAGGACTAGACCAGGACCAGACCAGGGCTAGACTAGGACTAGACCAGGACTAGACCAGGACTAGACCAGGGACTAGACCAGTAGGACTAGACCAGGACTAGACCAGACCAGGACTAGACCAGGACTAGACCAGGACGACTAGACCAGGACGAGACCAGGACTAGACCAGGACTAGACCAGGACTAGACCAGGACTAGACCAGGACTAGACCAGGACTAGACCAGGGACTAGACCAGGACCTAGACCAGACCAGGACCAGGAGACCAGGGCTAGACCAGGACTAGAGACCAGGACTAGACCAGGACGAGACCAGGACTAGACCAGGACTAGACCAGGGCTAGACCAGGACTAGACCAGGGACTAGACCAGGACGAGACCAGGGCTAGACCAGGACTAGACCAGACTAGACCAGACCAGACCAGGACAGACCAGGACCAGACCAGGAGACTAGACCAGACTAGACCAGGACTAGACCAGGACTAGACCAGGACTAGACCAGGACTAGACCAGGAGACCAGACTAGACCAGGACGGACTAGACTAGACCAGGACTAGACTAGGACTAAACCAGGACTAAACCAGGATTAAACAAGGACGAGACCAGGACTGAATCAGGACTAGACCAGGACCAGACCAGAACGAGACCAGGACTAGACCAGGACTAGACCAGAACGAGACCAGGACTAGACCAGGACTAGACCAGGACCAGACCAGGACTAGACTAGGACTGAACCAGGACCAGACCAGGACTAGGACTAGGACCAGGACGGTCAGGTCACATTAGTCTTTGGTTAGACCTGATTTAGTTTAAACTTTTTGTGTTAGATTTGGTTTAGTTTAGTTTTTAGGTTAGACCAGGTTTAGTTTAGTCTTTGTTTAAACTTGGTTTAGTTTAGTTTTCTTTGGTTAGTCCTGGTTTAGTTTAGACTTTTTAAGTTAGACCTGCTTTAGTTTAGTTTCGGGTTAGACCTGGTTTAGTTTAGACTTCCTGGGTTAAACTTGGTTTAGTTTAGACTTTTTGCATTAGACCTGATTTAGTTTAGTCTTGGTTTAGACCTGGTTTAGTTTAGTTTTAGGTTAGACCTGGTTTAGTTTTGTCTTCTTGGTTTAAACTTGGTTTAGTTTAGACTTTTTGGGTTAGACCTGGTTTAGTTTAGTCTTGGGTCGGACCTGGATTATTTTATTCTTTTTGCGTTAGACTTGGTTTAATTTAGTCTCGGTTTAGATCTGATTTAGTTTTAGTTTTAGTTTAGTTTTAGTTTTATTAATTCTTGGGTTAAACCTGGTTTAGTTCTGGTTTAGTCCTGGTTTAGTTCTGGTTTAGTTCTGGTTTAGCCCTGGTTTAGTTCTGGTTTAGTCCTGGTTTAGTCCTGGTTTAGTCTGGTTTAGTTTGGTTTAGTCCTGGTTTAGTTCTGGTTTAGTCCTGGTTTAGTCCTGGTTTAGTCCTGGTTTAGTTCTGGTTTAGTTCTGGTTTAGCCCTGGTTTAGTTCTGGTTTAGTTCCTGGTTTAGCTCTGGTTTAGTCCTGGTTTAGTCCTGGTTTAGTTCTGGTTTAGTCCTGGTTTAGTTCTGGTTTAGTTCTGGTTTAGTCCTGGTTTAGTTCTGGTTTAGTCCTGGTTTAGTCCTGGTTTAGTCTGGTTTTAGTTTGGTTTAGTCCTGGTTTAGTTCTGGTTTAGTCCTGGTTTAGTCTGGTTTAGTCCTTAGTTTGTAGTCCTGGTTTAGTGGTTTAGTTCTGGTTTAGTTCTGATTTAGTTCTGGTTTAGTCTTGGTTTAGTCCTGGTTAGTCTGTTTCCTGGTTCAGTCCTGGTTAGTTCTGGTTTAGTCCTGGTTTAGTCCTGGTTTAGTCCTGGTTTAGTTCTGGTGTAGGATTTCTGGTTTTGAGTGTTTTCTCCTGAACTCGCCCTGAACTCTCCTGGTTTAAAATGGTCTTATATTACTTTCCACCAGCTCGAGTGATGATTACATCGGTACATTTCCTGGTCTCTATGGCTAACGCTCTTATCTCCCAGACATCAGACCAGTGTGGAACATTTGATTAAAGAGAAATATGAGCCGCTGTTCTAAGGCCGCGCGATCCAGAAGCAGCGTCAGCGATGGAGATATGAACGTGTCAAAGTGGATTTATTCAAGACGGTTATTAAACTCTCCTGCGCGTTTGGTTCTGTTTGATTGACTGCTGGAATTGTAATGTCATATATGTGTCTTTAGAACGGAAATGTAGGTCAAATCCCGAGAAAAGTGGGGTTTTTTTTTAAATCTATCTCGAGGTACGGAGCGCTGTTGACTGCACTTGGACTTCTGCTTCACTTCCCCGTCTGAAAAAAAACACTTAAAGGTTGTATGGAGGATTTTTTTTCAGTTTCAAATTGTCAGTGAAAGTTTAAAATACCATGACAGAGACGCAGCAGCTTTGTAATTATGAAGACTAAAAAAAAAAAAAGAACGAAAATCTATCAACTGTGGACGTGTTGAGGCCAGATAAACATCAGCCAATAGAAAACCAGGCTCCCTCATTTTCTATTGGCTGTTAGGTCGTCAATCAAACTCCCTGCGTTTCTAGTGTAACTGACTCTTTGGCGCACTGGGATTATGTGGTTTTTGCAGCGGTTCTTAGAGGCTTTTTTAAAACTGTCGCTTCCTCGCATTTCGCACAAAGTTTGTCGCGACGGCGGACGAGAATCCACGACCGGTTCGCCGCAAAAGAAAGTCGGTTTTTGAGGTCGCTGAAAGAAGAAGAGATGAAGTGGAAAAGGAGCGAAGACAAACTGAGGTGATTCTTGGAGATCTCGTCCAGCGATGGCGCGACCGAAGCAGACGAAGGGTCTAAAAACTGACGCGTCGGTCGCTGAATTACTTCTAGACAGGAAACTTCAACAGTGATTCTGAACGTGCACAAGGACTGTCGCTGTATTTCTCTTCCCTTAAAAAAATCCTCTATACAACCTTTAAAGCCTGAAAATTAAACCATCAGAATATTAACGAAACTGTTTGTGAGAGCGAAGAACGCGTTGGAAAAAAACTAGTTCCTTTTGTAGTTTTAAAGCTGCATTATCTGATTTTCACAAGAACTGTAGCCTGTGCTCTTCCTGATTTAAAAAAGTTTAGAGCCAAGCAAGAATAGAAATTGATTTATGGACAAAATTGCAAGAAAAAAAAAAAGTCAGGATCATGTAGAGTGAGTTAATACGGAGATTTTAAGACCAAAATGAGGAGCCTGACAACAGCAGTTACACAGAGAGAGGTTGCAATGTTTTTTTGTTTTGTTTTTTTCAATACAAAGTGAATTGGAACAGAGTCGATGGAGCTGGAATTGTGCCCATGATCACTTCCTATTTGGAACATGCCGAATAACATGCAGGTTAACGATGTCCATTTATGATTTAGACCAAAAAGAGTCCATCGCCTGCCATACTTTTTATTTGTGCTAAATGTCCAGTGTGTCTTATGGAATGTTGAGAGGAGAATAACATTCTATTGAGGTTCTGGGCCTGTTGATGGTAAAGAAATCATCACAGATCCATTGATTTTGGTTGGATTTTTATATTTTTTTTCTGTGGAATGACTATACTGTTTGAAGAAAAGAATGGCATATTGGCTGATGTCAAAACTTGGGGGAATAGTTGATTGCCAATGAAGGTAAAGATGAAAATATTGGAAAAAAGTGAAAAAATTCCTTATTTTTTGGCATTAAATTGAGCCAAAATCATGTAGAAATGTGTTTTATGAATAATTTTTTCACTGAATGTTGTCATCACATGTGTTCTTTGCATCTGGAATGTATTTGTAGACATCTTACCCAATCCACTGAGGGTTTGAGGAAATTTTTCATTTTTCAAAATTTTCTATCACAAAATGAAGGTTACCTACACTAAAATGGCCAAAAAAAAATTTCGCGATATTTCCGGAAGAGCAGATCCTCCAATTATTGGTCCTCAGGGTCACAGTTAACAAAAAAATACAAATAAAAAGTATGGCAGGCGATGTCAGGTTCAACCCATTTTTGAGACTTTGGCTCCCGACTAAACAGTTTAGTCCAAAGTTTCAGACGCCTGTGTCAGAAACACCTGCCTCTGTCTGATACAGATGAAAAAGTTGAGATTTTTACAGTCCATGTGCTCCTCGGCACAGGACACGTGTGTGTGTGTGTGTGTGTGTGTGTGTGTGTGTGTGTGTGTGTGTGTGTGTGTGTGTGTGTGTGTGTGTGTGTGTGTGTGTGTGTGTGTGTGTGTGTGTGTGTGGACGCCGCATTCATCACAAAGGCACAAACTATATAAAAGTAATGTAAGTAAATAAGTTTTTTATTTATATCGCGCTTTTCACAAACATCTGTCACAAAGACGCTTTACAGATCATTATTCAGTCACTCCAGACCTGGTGGGGGTGAACTACTGTTGTAGCCACAGCTGCCCTGGGGTAGACTGACAGAAGCGCGGCTGCCAATCAGTGCCAGTGGTGCCTCTGACCACCACCATCACACACACACACCACTTTCATACTAGGCAATGTGGGTGAAGTGTCTTGCCTAAGGACACAACAAGAGTTTCTGTGACTGGTGCCCTCGCCTCTCGCATCCAAGTCCTGACCAGGCCCGGCCTCTGAGCTTCTGAGATCTGACGGGATCAGACTTTGACTTCAGTCTGGCCACAAAAAAGCCGAAGCTGATGGGAAAATGTGCAGTATCAGAGCTTTTGCTGATACCAGTATTGGTATCGGGACGACTAGGGTGACCAGATTTTCTAAATTCCCGGTTTGTAGATTGGTGGTTGGTAAAAATAAAATTGTGAAATGAGTGCGTAATTAAGGAAAAATGTTCTGCATTTGGCCCATTCACGACTTAATCACAACATGTGAGTCAGTATAGTCATATTTTTGTTGTGTTTTCCATAATTTTACCTAAACAAATGACAGTTTATGCCTCTCTTTACTGTTTTCAGCTACCAAATTGCTCAAAACTAGGGACACCAGAGACATTTTTCCATAAATAACTGGGACAAATCTCTGGTTTTGGATAAATCTGCTGGGACAGAGGACACAGGCTCAAAACTGGGACTGTCTCGAGTCAATAGGGACGTCTAGTCACTCTAGGACAGTGTTGGGAAGGTGACTTTTAAAATGTATTCCCCTACAGATTACAGATTACATACACCAAAATGTAGTTTGTAACGTAATCCATTAAATTACTTAAAGTGAGTAATGTAATCTGAATACTTTGGATTACTTGATTCGCTGTAGAGAAACAAAGACGAGGAAACTTAACCGTATTAAAAATATTATTGATAGAAGAGCAGGAGACATGTCCGCGCAGCAGGATTTAGTCCTGTTAAATCCTGTTTTAGTCCTGGTTTAGATCTAGTTTAGACCTGGTTTTAGTCCTGGTTTAAACCTGGTTTTAGTCCTGGTTTAGTCCTGGTTTAGTTCTGGTTTAGTCCTGGTTTAGTCCTGGTTTCTGGTTTAGTCTGGTTTAGACCTGGTTTTAGTCCTGGTTTAAACCTGGTTTTAGTCCTGGTTTTAGTCCTGGTTTAGTTCTGGTTTAGACCTGGTTTTAGTCCTGGTTTAGATCTAGTTTAGACCTGGTTTTAGTCCTGGTTTAGATCTAGTTTAGACCTGGTTTTAGTCCTGATTTAGTCCTGATTTAGTCCTGGTTTAGACCTAGTTTAGACCTGGTTTTAGTCCTGGTTTAAACCTGGTTTTAGTCCTGGTTTTAGTCCTGGTTTAGTTCTGGTTTAGTCCTGGTTTAGACCTGGTTTTAGTCCTGGTTTAAACCTGGTTTTAGTCCTGGTTTTAGTCCTGGTTTAGTTCTGGTTTAGTCCTGGTTTAGACCTGGTTTTAGTCCTGGTTTAAACCTGGTTTTAGTCCTGGTTTTAGTCCTGGTTTAGTTCTGGTTTAGACCTGGTTTTAGTCCTGGTTTAGATCTAGTTTATACCTGGTTTTAGTCCTGGTTTAGATCTAGTTTAGACCTGGTTTTAGTCCTGATTTAGTCCTGGTTTAGACCTGGTTTAGACCTAGTTTAGTTTCTAGCAATGAGTGGAATTACTGAAAAAAAATATATATAAATAATAATAATAATAATAATATTAATAATGTGAAAACAGGAAAATACCAACGTGTAATCCATTTATTTCAACAAAGTAACTGTAACTGAATACAGTTACTCATAATTTGTACTCAGATTACGTAACTCCAGTACATGTAATCTGTTACTCCCCAACACTGCTCTAGGAACAACCCTACTTAAAGTTATAGTCTTGAAATCAGTATTAGAACTGAAAAACCTGGATGAGTGCATCCGTAATAAGAGCTATATTGGATTTGAACTTGATATCCTCTAATCTGGAGACACAGACGGGTCAAATTTACCAAACTGTTGTAGAGGCCAGGTCGAAAACTTCATAAAAATGCAAGACAGTTTTACCCGTTTGAACTCACTCGCCTGATTCCAGACGAGCTCGCGGGCGTTTCATAAGCAGATGCAGAACGCACACGGACGGAATGACAGCGGCGAGGAGACACAGAGGAGAAATGGGACTGCGTTAATTATTCGCACCGTGAGTGAGCAGAAGGAGCCCGAGGTGCCTTCACTGTTAATTGGATTGTAAATTGTACGGCATTTTAAACTCAAGGACATTTAATTACCAAACTCCAGTGAACTTTAAACACCGCGGTGGCCTCAAAAGCAACACTTTATCACGGTCAGATACACAAGGACGTGATCTAGAAGAGCAACATGTATAAGATTAAATATAGATCTTTTTTAAGTGGTGAAGTTTAATTAGGTTAAAACTAGTTTATTTGTAACAGTTTGCAGCGGTGCAAAGTCATTCCTCGTTTAACTTTTGCATTCCCAACATCCTAATTAGTCACCATAATGAGTTTATAAAAGCTTTTCACAACTTTCAGACACCAGTGCAGAGTTTTGCAGTGTCGGTAAAGCTCACAACAACTAGAATGCTAACACACACTTCTTGATAATCTATGTATCTATGTATCTGTACTGGGGCAAGACCATTTTTTTCAAATACATGGGAAAAATTATGTACAGGAGCTTTAATCAAAGACCAAAAATCATACAGGAGTTAAATGATGCAGATATTGACTGCAAAACAATGGGAATTGTGCAATGAGTGGAGTCTGCAATATTTTATTGTTTGGCTCCTTGTGACCCCAGTTCTTTGGGACAACGGATGGAAATTAGCCTAAAGGGAGAATTATAGTTCTTCGTCGTCTCACCACACAGTGCCGCCGTCGCCTTGTTGCCGTCGGTTTTGATTTATGGATTTGTGTCAAGGTCTATGTTCAGTTCAATTCACCGTCACAACACTAGGAGGCTTTGATTTTAAAATGGCGTTCATGTAAACAAAATGAAGCGGAAAGCAGAGTACCAGAAATGTATGTAGTGCAGTGGTGGAGAGGACCAATCACAGTCCTTACAGTCTGCGTCTCTTCCGTCTTGTTATCTGTTTTGACACGTAGTTAGAAAATTTCGAGATGTACGTTGATCGTCGCAGACGCTCTTAGGATTGGGTGCATGGCGCAGATGATTTGATACACAACCATAAAATGGGCTTAACTCACGCTCTCCTCGGGGTCACAAAGACCCAAAGAAACATTTTCTTTCCTTCCCGTTCTCTTGGGGCGGGTCAATCAGACCCAAATAATTTTTTTCACATATTTTCTCACCAGGCGAGAAAAAAGTGTGTTTACATTCATGTTGTGTCTTGTTTGTCCATTTACATGCTCTGTCCTAATCAACTAAATAAAAAAATTAAATCCCATGGCCAAGGTTCAACCCAGGAGAAGGTTCAACCAAACAACTGCACAATAAAATGTTAAAAGTATTGAAACGTATGTACTTACGTACCGAACCGTGATGTTTTGTGAACTGTTACACCCCTAGTATTGGGTACAAGTTTATTCCTTGGTGTCAAAATCGAGTTTAAAATGTTAGTAACGTGACAACACCACCGCGTAAACAAGTGCAGCTTTGATCAGCCCAAACCCTCTTCTCTGAACGGAGTGTTTACCTGACAAAGGTCATGGCCCCCGTCTCTGCGTTCCAGTCCTGCAGTTTGTGGTCGAAGTTCAGTTTGGTGTTTGGATACGTCTCGGCCTCTGCCACAAAAACACACAAAATGAGCTTTATACAAATCCATTTAGGAGAAAAACACAACCGTCCAGTTTTATTTGAACAACGATTATTTTAGGAGTCAAACAGACAGCAATTAGTCAAATAACTAACAACAACAACAAAAATCTGAAGCCACGTCTGTTTAAAACGGCTTTTAATGTTGAACTTGTTGAACTGTTTTTATCTTTCATGTATTAGTTGTTTACTGCTCTTTGAATATTTGAATATTTGTTCTGTAAAGCGTCTTTGAGTGTCATGAAAAGCGCTATATGAATAAAATTATTAACTAAACGGTCAAACAATTATTTTTTTGTACTTTAGGACTTTTTAAATACGTAAAAATTTTAATAAAACAATGAAATGGTGTAATGCAGTGTAAAATAAGTTATATATTTTGTTCTGTTTGTCGAATTATACACAATTTTTTACTGTTATTTTGAACTAAATATTACTCAAGTACAGTGGTGGAAGAAGTAGGCCGTACTCAATTTTGTTGCTTAAGTAAAAGTGCATGTACCAAAGCAAAAAATACTCAAGTACAAGTAAAAGTATCACATGAAAAAACTACTTAAGTGAAAGTATTTGGGAAATGTTTACACGAGAACGTTTGCGGGTAAAAATGACAAAATATTTTATCGGAAGTGCCTTCCGTTTAGACCAGGAGTGTCAAACTCATTTTGGTCCGGGGGCCGTATCCAACCTACTTTGATCCCAAAGAGGCCGGATCAGAAAACTCATGGCATATAAACCCCAAAAATAAAAATAAGTTCAAATATTTGTGCAGAGAAACGCAAATCTATTACAGAAATCTTTTTTAATTGATGAACTCTTTCTTTTACAAAATATTATAATATTATGAACAACCTGAAACTTTAAGAAAAATGCAATTTCAACACAATGTTTTAACATGAACTTGTATGTAAATAGGAATAAGTCAATTTTTTCTTGTAAAATCCTGCACTCGGCTCCACTTTTCTCATGTTGGACATTTTTCTGATGAGGGTGTCACGGTCAACAGTCAAAACGATCGTCCTTTAAGAGCGTTTGGAAAGAGACAAGTCTTCATTTGTGCTGCTCTGGTGGGAGGGGCCACGTACAGAGACGCTGGAGACGCTGCTGTGATAAACACCGCAGAAAATTAACAATATTTTAATAGAAAATATAATTAAAATATTTTAGTAGAAAATCAGATGAGGGCCAGATTAAAGGTCTTGGAGGGCCGTATAAAACCAACCTTGCATTTGAAGGATTTATGTCTGAACAGCAGCAGCGAGTTGTATTTCCTGATAGAAAGTTTGGCAGCACCGTATCATCGTATCAGGAACGATTTGCGTCCAGACACGTCGTTTCTGGGTTTGCAAGCCTTCTCTGTCCACACAGCTTTGAGCATATTTGTTTACGTTTTACAGAAACAAAACTTAAAATCACATGGCTCATTTGCATAAACTAAACTCTCAAAAAAACTGCTCGTTATTGTGCTCTGATGTGGTTCAGCTTCTGTCGGACTAAAGGACATGACTGAATATGAGTGTTCTTTCTGTGACAGAGGGGAGTTCTGCTGATGGTGAGTCTGTTCTGTGTTTCTGTTCATGTTAAATTTTTCAGAGATTATACGTCTGCATATTCTAGCCTCTTAGCGTTTTGGCACACAGACCTACTTCAGAGTATCAGTGTTTTCAGGTGTCCACACAGTGCCGGATCAGATCTGTACTCAGATTAATTCGTGGGAGCAGGCGGCACCAGATCGTTCCGTCTCTGGAGCCGTTTTCCATCGAATTAATGTGGACGAACACTGCATTCACAACATAAACAACTCAAATACATACTAGTGTGGACGGGCTGATATCACCGAGCGCCTAAGTTACTGGCAAAGTAAAATTCCGCTGCTGAGAAAATAGTCCCTCAACATGCGACAATTCATGCGATGCAAGGTTAGTTTTATTTCAAATATGATTCTATGGACACAGACATTCACATGGACAGTCTGGTGTAATAATAGATTTGTTTCAGGTGTTTTGTGGAGTGGGTGAGACTGTTTTTAGTGTCAGGATAAATATGACCATTGACATGCACTAGTCTAACACCAGTGACCTCTGCAAATACAAGGACTGGATGGAATATTTAAAAAAGTGTCTCCACACGTCTCCAACACTCTGGCTCACGAGGAAATGAGGTCCTATGTCCAAAATTCCAGACTGTCCCTTGAAGTAAAGTACAGATGTTGCTTCTAGACTCTTTGATAGTTTGTCTAATGGAGGAGCTTTCTTCACTTTAATGAAACCACGTCCTGTCTCTTTATCTGCAGTGTGCAGTGTGCTGCGTCCTGGGACTCATTAAAGCCGAGGAGAAGGCTTTTATCCTGAAGAGGAGGACTTCTGCTGAACTAAAATGACATCATCTATAAGTATTATGCTCCCTGTCATCTCAGAAGTGACAAAATACTAGAAAGAAGGATTCATTTATGAGCCATGGACGCTAATTTATTGATAAATGTTGAAAATGATATACAGGGAGCTCAATTTTTATAATCACAACAAATTAATCGGTTCAATAAATCATTCTGTCTATAAGTCATTCTTCTTATAAAAGCCTCTTGCCTTCCTAAATGTCTTAAATGAGAGAAACACATGAGGCTCAGTCTGTTTTCTAATTTCATAATCATCTTAAAACCAAAACACCAAATGACAACAACAACTTGGCCATCCTGTCCAGTTTTTGCCACAGGCTCTGTTCACTCTTACCGGAAAACGTTTGGAAACATGTGGATGACAACTCCCAATGTAGTTATCGATACTGGACCATCAGCTGTACAAATAATATTTATATACAGTGGTCCCTCGTTTATCGTGGGAGTTACGTTCTAAAAATAACCAGCGATAGGAGAAATCCGCAAAGTATTGAACTTTATATTTTACAGTTATTATATCTGTTAAAAGTCTGTAAAACCCCTCACCACAAACTTTATACACTTTTCTCACACAAGACTCTTACAACCCTTTCTGCATCCTTCTTAAAACTTATTGCTGCTGTCGTTCCTTTTGTTATTTTCCTCCTTCTTTATGTAACGAATAAAGATTAATTCATTCCATAATGGAGCCCAACAGCGCAGAGTCCTGCACAGGTCCATTTTTGGAGATTCACACCCGCGCAGGACAGAACCACACCCGCCCATTAACTCGAGATTATATCAAACTTTTGCACTGCCTACACCACGGACTGAACCAAGACTAAACCTGGACTAATCCAGGACTAAACCTGGACTGATTTCAGGACTTAAGAGGAGGACTAAACCAGGACTGAACTAGGAATAAACTAGGACTGAACTAGGACTAAACTAGGACTAAACTGGGACTGAACTAGGACTGAACTAGGACTAAACTGGGACTGAACTAGGACTGAACTAGGACTAAACTGGGACTGAACTAGGACTTAAACAGGACTCACTGTCAGGACGGGCTCAGAGGTGTCCACAGGAGAAAGGATCGACGGAGAGCTCCTCACCTCGCGGCGGTAAGTGCGGCTATCACCTGATTGCCCTTTACAGACATCACTTTGTTCAACATTCTCTCTCTTAAGTCCAAGATTAGTCCTGGTTTAGACCTGGTTTATTCCTGACCCACCTGTGTGTAATTACTATGTGCCCGTAATACGCAATAAACATTCATATGCTGTATAAAAAAACATGCAAAATTGCACAGAAAAAAATCAGCGAGACGGCAAAAGGTGAACCTTGATATAGCGAGGGACGACTGTACACAGTCTGTGTACTGGGCAAGTGATAAAACCACAGACTCAACAGCAGCGTCTTCACAACCTGACAAAGTTTTCCACGTAACTCTAGACACGTCTTCAAGGTCACTTACAGGCCGCTGGTTGTAATTATAATAAATGTAATAATAATAAATCTTTATTTATAAAGCACTTCTAAAAACAAAGTTTACAAAGTGCTGTACAAGCCACAAAGAACAAAACAAAAGAATAAAAAGAGCATGCAGAAGAAAACAGACAATGATGCAAACAATTCAATACATTTTAAAAAATCTAAGTAAACAATAGTTTCTCACCTGTGAGCAGCTGCTTGTTCAGATTGGCTCGGTCCACAGACAGAATGAACTGGAACAGACATCATAAATAATGTTGTAATCACACTTAAATTTGAATGCGCAAAAGGTCAGTTACAAAAGATACAAAAAATAAATTATGTTAAAAAAATTTAAAAAATCCCAACATGAATTAACATGTTTGAGTATTTGGAGATTGATGATGAAGATAAAACATAGAGTAACGTCTCTGTTCTACACTACAAATTTCTCTGATCTGGCCGAGATTTTAAAACTTATATCAGGTTATTCATTTTGTTTACAGATTTATTATCTACTTACTCGTTCTGATTGGTTGCATAATCTTAAAAATTGTCACATATATTTCTTCCATGACTCAACTACTCTGAAAATCTTAAGTTTAGACAATAAATATTTAAAAGAAACTACAATCCATTTACCAGAGTTTTCCCCTGCAACACTGAACTTGTTTTTAGATTCAGTGACACAGATTTATTTGATTCTCAAGTATGTTTATCTAAAACTTAGCATCTATAAATTTATTTCCAGCTCATGAACTCTTAATTCTAGTCTAGAGGTCGTTTATTTTAAGATAACTTGTCAACTAAAATGATCTTGCTACATGGACAGATATTTTATATATATATATATATATATATATATATATATATATATATATATATATATATATATATATATATATATATATACGTGTCTGGTCTCCACCGGTAGAAGACAGCGCCAAAACTTGTTTAAATCAGCTGACCAGACACGTCACAGCAACATCACGTGACTCTGAGGAAGACGTTAGTGAGCAAAACTGTCAGGTATGAAATAACACTCTGGGTCTGGAAAAAAAGAACCTAATAAGATACTTTTTTTAATTTTTTATGTATTTGTTTCAGGATTGCAGCAGTAGCTCAGTTGGTGGAGCATTCACCCACTGATCTGAAGGTTGGCGGTTCAATTCCAGCTCTCGACATAAACATCACAGGTTGAGTGGTCAGATCCACTGACCCACAGGAGCTGGTGTGATTCCAGCTCCCACAGATGAATGCTGTCGTTGTGTCCTTGGGCAAGACACTTAACCCACCTTGCCCACAGTGTCTGTGTACACTGGTGTGTGAATGGGTGAGTGGTTAATTTTTGTAAAGTGCTTTGAAGGTGGAAAAGCACTATAGAAAAACTGTGACCATTTAAAATGATAAAAATTAGTTTGGAAGGACTGACATAGAAATAGAAATAGTTTCCTTTCATTTTGAAGTAATATTAAAGTATTCAGAAGAAAAAAGCGACAAATTATGCAAAATCCTGCACCTTCTACTTGTTGCACAATTTTCCCTCCGTTACTTTTCCCTCTGTTACCATGACCTTTCTTCATAAAAAATCTCATTACTCAAAAAGTAAGAGGTTTTTCAACCTAATCTTGTACCATATGGTAGAAAACTATATGAAGCAAATATTCAAACCAGTTTGTTAAGGATATGTAAGTGAGAACCAAGAGTTATCACTGTTTGGATTTGTTGCCCAAAAAGTGCTGCATATTTCATTCCCTCCGTTACTGACATGAGTTTTTACATTTTTTGTCAACAACTTGAAAGAATATCACAGGTTTAACTTGACCCTGTTGGAGTGTAACTCTTTCCTACATTCTGATACGTTACTTATTTCAATAGTCCCTCTAGTTTCTGAATAAGAGACATTTGAATGTCAAAAATCTGTTCGTTTCCCTCCGTTACTGCTTGACCAGACCCCAGGTTTTTTTTGCCGTACAGAAAGTATTTGAATAATCATAAGCACTCAAAGCTCTTAACATGAGTCCATTATTTATGTGGGTGGGTAAAGTGTCTTGCTCAGGGGCGTAGAGTTTATGTATTCTGCGCGCTGAGGAGAGATCAAACCACCGACCGTTTCGTGGGCGACTCGGAGCCATAATTGAGAAACGTATGGCTGCTCTTCCTACCTTTCCCCGCTTAATTTGCTCTGGATTATCACCTCCATAATGACGCGTCGCTGCCGTATTTGCGCGGCCGATGCTCTCGCCGGAACATATGACGGACATTATAAGTGACAAGCGGACGGAAAGTGAACACAGACCATTTAAATCTGCTCTGAAGACGCGGCGCCCGTCTGTTTCTGTTAAAACGCTGCAGTTAGACGAAGAGTTTCACATGTAAACCACCGGTTTCATTATTTTAAAGGACACATATTCTGACAAACTGACTTTCTTGAGCTTTTAACCAAGTTTTATTGTCGTCCCATCGTCAAAAATAAACAGAGAGATCGTCCAGAGCAGACGTCTCCAACCTGTGTGTCGTTCGTTCATTCGTTTTTCAATATAAAACCAAAAATAAGAAAATGAAAAAACAACGCTTTTCTTCATTATTTGTCTCCGAAACCAAAATGAAAAAACAGAAAATGATTTGTTTTTCCAGTTTTCGATTTTGTGTTTAAATGAAGAATGGAAAAAATGGATAACGACCGTTTCCCGTTTACGTGACTTCCGTGACTGCGATGTTGGACTGAATAAGGATTAAAACAGGACTAAATGAGGACTAAACGGTTTTCAGTCCTGGTCTGGTCTCAGTCTCAGGCCTGGTCTCAGTCCCGGTCTGGTCGTGGTCTGGTCCTGGTCTAAGTCCTGGTCTCAGTCCTTATCTGGTTCTGGTCGAAGTCCCGGTCGAAGTCCCGGTCGAAGTCCCGGTCGAAGTCCTGGTCTAAGTCTCAGTCTCAGTCCTTGTCTGGTCCTGGTCTAAGTCCTGGTCTCAGTCCTGGTCTAAGTCCCAGTCTCAGTCCTTGTCTGGTCCTGGTCTAAGTCCGGGTCTCAGTCCTTATCTGGTCCTGGTCTAAGTCCTGGTCTCAGTCCTGGTCTAAGTTCTGGTCTAAGTCCCGGCCTCAGTCCTTGTCTGGTCCCGGTCTAAGTCCGGGTCTCAGTCTTTATATGGTCCTGGTCTAAGTCTTGGTCTAAGGCCTGGTCTCAGTCCTTGTCTCTGTCCTGGTCTAAGTCTCGGCCTCAATCCTTGTCTGGTCCTAGTCTCAGTCCTTGTCTGGTCCCGGTCTGATCCTGGTCTCAGTCCTGGTCTGGTTCCGGTCTGGTCCCGGACCTGGTTCAGTCCTGGTTCAGTCCTGGTTCAGTCCTGGTTCAGTTCATATTCGGCGCTAAAATCCGGTATCTCAGTCACATAAACGGGAAACGGCCGTTATCCGTTTTTTTCCATTCTTCATTTAAACACAAAATCGTAAACGAATCATTATGCTTTTTTTTTTTTTTTTTTCCATTTTGGTTTTGGAGACAAATAATGAAGAAAACTGTTATTTTTTTTCTTTTTCTTATTTTTGGTTTTATATTGAAAAACGAATGAACGAATGACACACGGATTCGCCAAATTTTCTATAGATAATTACATAATTAAATAGGTAAATTAGGCAAATTCCCAAACTGGAACCTTTCTATTATTGACCAGACACAAGATCTTACTGTATTACAACAAAAAAACACTGTTGAACAATTTTAATTTTGGCTGAAACGCTCCATCTATCTATTTATTTATCTGTCTGCTCGGAGTGTAGTGTCGGTCTTACCTGTCCTTTCTTTCCGTACGGGATCGGAGACTGTTTCCCGTTCAGAGAGTGGATCATCCGGGCGTGCATCGGGATTCCCTGGGAGACGATCTGAACAAAGCCAACGTGGAATTCATTTATAACACAAATTCACAGGTCGGATTTCTCGTTTTAGTCTTTTTGTCTATGCTTATGAATTATTAAAAGCCATATTTATTTATCCGGAAATGCACTTGGTTATTGATCCTTATGAAGAAAAAAAAATGATGATATATAAAACACAACTCCAGGTCTGTTTGTGATGAGGAAAGTGCATTATAGCAGATCAGAAAATAGTGTAATTTAGGCACTTAAAGGTTGTATGGAGGATTTTTTTTTGTTTCAAATTGTCAGTGATAGATTATAGAGGTGCAGTAGCCTTGTAATTATGATGACCAAAAAAAAGAGAATAAAAATTCATCAACTCTGGACGTGGTGGGGCTAAACATTTGCCAATAGATAACGACATTGCCTCGTTATCTGTTAGCTGACAGGCTGTCAATCAAACTCCCTACGTTTCTAGTGTAACTGACTTGCCTGCGCCGCCGGTACGTGGTTTACGTACGACTGTCACACAGTCCACAGACGCAAGATGCACAGACGCTGTTTACTCCACCAACGCAACAGTTCTTAGCGGCTTTTTTTTTACCTATATCTTCCTCGCAGTTCGCACTAAAGTTTGTTGCAATGGCGACAAGAATCCAGGAGCAGTTCACCGCAAAAGAAAGTCCGTTTTTGAGGTCGCTGAAAGAAGAAGACAAGGGGAAAAGCAGCGAAGCCAAACTAAGGTGATTCTTGAAGATTCATTCCAGCGATGGCGCGACTGAAGCAGACGCAGGGTCTAAAGACTGACACCACTGGTCCACAAATTACTCCTGGACAGGAAACTTCTGCTTATTATGAAAACGTACTTTATTTCCAAGAGTTAGACAAACGTTTTTCAGGACACGAAAGCGATATCCTATGTCTGAAAACGTAATTTTCAAGGCAAAGAAAGAGTCCGCTTGCTGCTGCGTGTTGTAGCTAGTTCATTCGCACTGAATCTCCGCGCACTCTTCTCTGCACCCCTTTCCTGCTCCTCTCCCCGCTGCCCGATCCGCTTTTCTCCTCGCTCCTCATTTCTCCGTCTTGCCTAACCAACACTGTAGTTAGTTGTTTACAAGTCATGTGCAGCACCGGCTGTGAACAAACCTGTTTCTGGCGTAAAGAGGAGGAGGGAGGAGGCGTTTCTACGTAGGAGCTGTAGGGGAGGGGGGGTGGTTTCACACATGCGCAACATTTGAAAAAGGACAAACAGTCGCTGGATTTCTCATTCCTTGGAAAATCCTCTATACAACCTTTAAATCTTTTACTTGATACAGACAGACAAGGCGAATTGTGGTAAAATAAGTAATGATTTAAAATATGTGTGAAACAGTGAATTTATTAACTTTGAGCCTTGTTCCGTCACCATAAGCACCATGAGAAATCCTGTATTGTTCTGTATTTGCGGCTTAATTGCTCAGAAAATTCCTATTTTCACCTACCCCCTATGTCTCCTATTACTGCTCTGTGCTTCCTTGTGATTAGTACAAAAGGACAGGATCATATGTAAAGTAAAAAACTAAAAAAAAATAAAAATACAAATAAAAATACAAATCTACTGCTTGCTGAAATTAAACCATGGAAAGGAGTGACCTGTTAGTTTTGCAGTTTTGAACAGGAAATAATTGGTAGTGTTGGGGCCAGGACTAGACCAAGACCTCTGAGGGTCAAGACCGAGACAAGACTGAGACTTTTTAAGGCCAAGACGGAGAACAGGGCCCATTGAGACCAAATCGAGACCATCTTTGTCACTGTCAACATGTATTTGTATTTTACAGTTATTTGGGCACATTTATTTAAAAGTTTTTATAAATCTATCTCCATTTTATCACTCGTTGAGTGTCAAGACCGAGACAAGACCAAGTCCAAGCGCCTTCAAGACTGAAACAAGACCGCATCCAAGCTGCTTCAAGACCGAGTCCAAGTTCCTTCAAGGCCGAGTCCAAATTAATTCAAGACAGAGTCCAAGCTCCTTCAAGACCGAGACAACACCGTGTCCAAGCTCCTTCAAGACCGAGTCCAAACTCCTTCAAGACCGAGTCCAAGGTCCTTCAAGAATGAGACAACACCGTGTCCAAGCTCCTAAAGACCGAGTCCAAGGTCCTTCAAGACTGTGTCCAAGTTCCTTCAAGACCGAGACAAGACTGTGTCCAAGTTCCTTCAAGACCGAGTCCAAATTCCTTCAAGACCAACACAAGACCGTGTCCAAGTTCCTTCAAGACCGAGTCCAAGTTCCTTCAAGACCGAGACAAGACTGTGTCCAAGTTCCTTCAAGACCAAGTGCAAAATTAATTCAAGATCGAGTCCAAGGTCCTTCAAGACCGAGTCCAAGGTCCTTCAAGAACAAGACAACACCGTGTCCAAGCTCCTTCAAGACCGAGTCCAAACTCCTTCAAGACCAACACAAGACCGTGTCCAAGTTCCTTCAAGACCGAGACAAGACTGTGTCCAAGTTCCTTCAAGACCGAGACAAGAACTGTGTCCAAGTTCCTTCAAGACCGAGACAAGACTGTGTCCAAGTTCCTTCAAGACCGTGTCCAAGTTCCTTCAAGACCAAGTCCAAATTAATTCAAGACCGAGTCCAAGGTCCTTCAAGAACAAGACAACACCGTGTCCAAGCTCCTTCAAGACCGAGTCCAAACTCCTTCAAGACCGAGACAAGACTGTGTCCAAGTTCCTTCAAGACCTGTGTCCAAGTTCCTTCAAGACCAAGTCCAAATTAATTCAAGACCGAGTCCAAGGTCCTTCAAGACCGAGTCCAAGCGCCTTCAAGACCGAGACAACACCGTGTCCAAGCTCCTTCAAGACCGTGTCCAAGCTCCTAAAGACCGAGTCCAAGGTCCTTCAAGACTGTGTCCAAGTTCCTTCAAGACCGAGTCCAAATTCCTTCAAGACCAACACAAGACCGTGTCCAAGTTCCTTCAAGACCGAGTCTAAGCTCCTTCAAGAGACCAAGACTGCAAAAAAACTCAAGACCGTCTCGAGTACCACGACACTAGTAACTGGACTTAGTTTATTGTCTGTTTACAATGAACAAAATGCAAAAGATGAATCTACAGATGTTGTAGTTTTGAAAATGCCTCCTAAAAGAATAATATGTGTAACTTCTTGCACTTGTCGGTCTATCAGAGGCAGTCTTCTGTTGGCCACATGTTTCAGATTTCATCACAGATTTGACGTAAAACTACACTAAAGCGTTAACGATTGTACCTTCTCCTCCAGCCCCACGTGCTTCAGAGCCGAACGACCGCGATGAGACAAAGCCAAGTTTATGCTCCGGCCTTTCACCACTTTAGCCGTCCGGATATCTGACCAACAACAGAAAGACTTCGTTAAAAACTGTAGTCGATGAAGTACTCAAAAGTGCAGATACAGGCACAAAAGATTACGCAAAATGTAAAAAGTAAAAGTATTTTGCAGAGATTTGTAGTGATCATTGTAGTGATTTTGATAAAGAATTTAGACGATTTCAGGTGATTTAATTGATCTCTTAATTTTTCTCGCTGTTTTTATATTTTTGCTCAAAGTTGGGACTCAAATTAAATGTGCTAAAAAAAAGTACTTTTTACTTTTCAGTCCAGATCTAAAACGTAACAGAGTAGAAAGTACAGATACCTGCTCTCAAATGTAGTGAAGTAAAAGTAAAAAAGTGCAGATGCCTAAAAATTGTAGGTAAGTATTGTACTTTTATTTCTGTACCTTCCACAACTGGTCAAATACTTAAATACTTTAGACTTAGACTTAGACTTAGAAGTAGACAAACTTTATAGATCCACAAGTGAAATTATTTGGACACAGCAGTAAAGAGTAAAAAATATAAATGTAATAATAAATTCTAAATAAGTAGCAAAAAGAGAGCAAGAGACAAGTGTCAAATAAGACATAATAATATAAAAGTAAATGTACAAGTCAAAATAAGATAGAAAAATAAGTAATTAAATATAAAATCTCAGCTTTTTACAGGAGGTCAAGACACTGCAGCAATGATCTGATGATTAACTTTAATAGTTTTGTTATTTGAAAAGTGTGTGTATCAACGTCTTACCTTCTCGACTTTCATAAACTTGAACGTCAAAACCTCTCTTGGCAAAAAAGCAGGCGTTGAGTGCACCGACCTGCAAAAGAACGAACATTTAGTGAACGTCAAATTAACCATCTATTTTTAAAAAACCTTGAGCTTTTAGTAATCAATACAAAGCAAGTCTGTTCAACATTTGTGGATTTTTAGTCTTGGATATTTCTATCAAAAACAGTGAATTGCACATAGAGCGACACAGGCCTCCATCTGAGACATGGACTGTAAGTGAACTGAAAGAGTTTGACGTGACCCATATCTCCAGTCAAATGAAGCTCACCGAGGTCCGCAGTTACAGGTGCGAATTTGAAGTTTCCAAATAATGAATAGAAATTTAACTACAGACAAAATGGTGAAATAAAACGGTCGCTGTATCAGACGGTTGTGGTGAAGAGGGAGCTGAGTCGAAAGGCGAAGCTTTCGATTTACAATCTACATTCTTCACCTCACCTATGGTCATGAGCTCTGGGTAGTGACCGAAAGAACAAGACTGCGGATACAAGCGCTCGAAATGAGTTTCCTCCGCACGGTGGCTGGGCACTCCCTTAGAGATAAGGTGAGAAGCTCAGTCACATGGAGGAGCTCAGAGTAGAGCCGCTGCTCCTCCACATCAAGAGGAGCCAGTTGAGGTGGTTCAGGCATCTGTTCCGGATTCCTCCTGGGCGCCTCCCTCGGGAGGTGTTTCGGGCACGTCCCACCGGGAGGAGGTCCCGGGGAAGACCCAGGACACGCTGGAGGAACTACAGCTGCGTTCAGACTGCAGCCTGAAGTGACCCAAATCCGATTTTTTGGCCTCTATGTTCCTGTATCTGATCTTTTAATGACAGTCTGAACGACACAGATCTGATTTTTTCAAATGCGACCCAGACCACTTGGATATGTGCTCCTGAAACTGATACATATCTGATCTTTTGACATGTGACTTCAGTGTGAACGGCCAAAGTGCATTCATCCACCTACACGTTATCAACAAGACACAAACGTCACTATTCTATTATAATTCACGAAAATTGTTAATGAACTCTGTGTCACTGAAGCGAAGCACATCACCACTCACCACTCTTGGCTCCATCTCCACATCCACACGTTCCTTTCAACGGACGTCCAACAAAACACCACGACCAAAAACCTCGTCCTTCTCCTTCTCAATCTCCTCCTTAAAACAAGTAAGTTGTTCATGTTCTGACTCGAGAGAAACTTTAAAATCTCCAGGTGCTCAATGCTCGCGTCCATGTTTGGACAACTTCCGTAAACACAGAGACGCTCGCTGCGGTTGACGTCATCGTGTCTCCAGTGCACATGCGGGACACTTTTGGACCGTTTAAAGTTCGCACTGGAGTCACATACAAGTCACATTAAATTGGAAATGTTAACGACCTCGCAAAAACATCGGATTTCATAAAAAAATCGGAATTGAGCATTAAGCCCTGCAGTCTGAACGTAGCCTAAGTCTCTCGACTTGCTTGGAAAAGTCTCGGGATCCCCTGAAGAACTGGAGGAAATGTGTGTGGAGAGGGAAGTCTGGGAGGCCCTTCTCAGACTGCCGCCCCTGCGACACGACCCCGGAAAAGCGGAAGAAAATGGATGGATGGCATTTATTTGAGTAACATACATGCATCGCTACAGGAGCGTGTCGCTTTAACGCACCTTTACCTCAGCTACTCACATCAATGTCAATACGGCAGAGATTACAGAAGGCACAGTATTCTCCTTTGGCGCTCTTGCTGGCAAAACGATGCTCTGAGCACCAAGCATGTTTGAAGGACGGTGTTTGCCAGTGAACACTTTCTAACATTACTATCGCAGCATCGCAGTTGCAATAGTTTCAGCTAGTCATTGTTTATAAAAACCTGGGGCTGGGAAATATGGTGGTCGGAGGCAAGAAACACGGTGCGTCAAACACAGTGCGTAACCTCGCGTATTTATCCCCGATAATGGTAAATTCCTGCTGCATTATCAGATGCACAAATAGAAGCACGGAAGAAGGAAAATGTCTGTTTCTTATTCTGAGTGAAAAGAACCGCTAACGGTGAATTAAACGGCTTTCAAACATTTCGCAGAGCAAACGTGAAGATCCTAACAAACCGTGGACTCCAACAAGTTCAAAACACATCGAGACTTTGGAGGTTTTCATCTTTTCTGCTGTGAATGGCCCAGGAGTTTCCACCAAGTCATTGTGGATATCGCCCAAGTGATATTGTCCAGGTAGTTGGTGATTCTGACCAGAAATTTGGTTTGGTCCAGGCTTTGTTGGGGTTGAAAAGGGTGATTTGTCGTCCATCGATGCTTATGACCAATTTCTGGTCAAATGGTCTTGGGTTCCTCTGCCGTTAGAGTGGATAAATAACCTTCAATACCCTTTACGTGCTTTCTCGCTCCGTCCGTCATGTTGAATTAGTGTTTCTTGTCGCCGACCAAAATAATTCCCAGCATGCAACGCGCGCTTTTGTCAACAATGAAACTCGCCTATATGGCCGGGGATTGGTGGTGATGGTGGTGGTATTCAACTTTTCTACTCTGGAGGGTGGTTTCAGATTTTTGCAGTTTTTTTTAAGTCCCAAAAACGCCGTCACCATCTAAACGAAAGGCACTTCCGATAAAATATTTTGTCATTTTTACCCAAAGGCGCTCTAGTGTAAACAGAGCCACAGAAAAAACACACAAACTCTACATGGAAAGACCTTGCATGACCCAGGAACTGAACAAGAGACCTTACAACTGGAAGAGCGATTATTATTATTATTTTTAGATTGTGCTGTCTAAAAAGTTCATTTTGGTTTTCGGTGACCGGGACAGTCCCAGTTTTGAAAGTCCTGTGTCCCCTGTCCCAGCAGATTCATCCAAACCAGCAATTTGTCCCAGTTTTACACAAGAAATGTCCCACTTTTGTCCCTATTTTTAAACCAATAAACCACTAAACTAAGACTAAACCAGCGCTACATCAGTGCTATTCTTGACCAATTTGTGACTCAACAGCAGCAAAAGGGCCAATATTTTGTCCTTTTTCAGCTTAAATTCAGAAAAGAAGATGATTAAACACTGACACGCGTGCAAATCGAGAAAGGACAACGTTTAATTATTCCAAAAATCCAAACTCGAGTGTGTCCCAGTTTTTAATTTTGAATATCTGATCACCCAAGTTTCGCTGCTTGATTTCATTCCAGAGCCTTAAAGTATAATTCCTTCAGCCTTTCCTAGTAGATCAGTAGCTCAAGTCACGCACAGACGATCAATAATTTACTTTAGTTTTATCTTACCAAGCCGCCGCCCACAACAGCCACCACTTTCTTCTTTTCCGACTTGATTTCTGCTGGTTCCATTTTTGGCTAAACCCTTCTCGAACGATTCTAGTGTCAGTGTCTCAGTGCTTTCAGAAAATGTTCCTGCAGGATTGTGGTAAGGTTTAAAAGAGGCGGGGCTTAAGTGTCATAACCACAAAGTAAACAACTGATAACAGCGTAGACCCTCACGCTGATTTTGTCTTCATTTAAAGGTCCTCTGTTACACAAAATTGACTCGTTGTGAGCTTTGAGCCGTGTTATAATCTCGTTACCTCATCAAAGACAGACCTGGAGTTGTGTTTTGTTTGCGTTACACAAGTTTAAAGTCGTCTGTCTACATTTCCACAGCTCAAATAGGACTGAGGACGAGTTGAGTTGAGACTTTTAAAGGTCGAAACCAAGACAATATCCGAGACCACGGACCATCGAGACGAAATCGAGACCATCTTTGTAATTTTCGTCATTTATTTGTGTTTTATAGTTATTTTGGCGCAAATATATCAATGTTTTTATAAATGAATCTCTATTTTATCACCTGTCGAGTGTCAGACCTCGAGATGAAGACAAGATCGAGTCCAAGCGCCTTCAAGACCGAGGAAAGACCAAGTCCAAGCACCTTTAAGACTGAGACAAGACTGAGTCCAAACGCCTTCAAGACCAAGACAAGACTGAGTCCAAACGCCTTCAAGACCGAGAAAAGACCGAGTCCAAGACCTTTCAAGACCGAGAAAAGACCGAGTCCAAGTGCCTTCAAGACTGACTGAGACAAGACCGAGTCCAAGCGCCTTCAAGACCGAGACAAGACTGAATCCAAGTGCCTTCATGAGTGAGACAAGATCAAGTCCAAGCGCCTTCAAGACTGAGACAAGACCGAGTCCAAGCGCCTTCAAGACCGAGACCAAGACCTTCAAGACAGAGAAGACCGAGTCCAAGAGCCTTCAAGACTGAGACAAGACCGAGCTCAAGCACCATTAAGACCAAGACAAGGCGGAGTCCAGGCACCTTCAAGACTGAGACAAGATCGAATTCAAGCACCTTTAAGACCGAGACAAGACCACGTCCAAGCTCCTTTCAACAAGAGACCGAGTCCAAACACCTTCAAGACCGAGACAAGACCAAGTCCAGTCTCGAGACTGGACTCGGTCAAGACTGGTTTTGAGTACTATGACACTAGTAATTGGACTTTATTTATTGGTTTTACAGGGAAGAAAATGCAAAAGAATTATCTACAGATGATCCAAAATTCTTTTACCTGGAAGCAAAAAACTTGAGCCCATTACCCAGATTTTATCGACTTTGCACTGGCTTTATTTTCATTTTATAATCGATTTTAAGATTGTCTTGTTTGTTTTAAAGCTTTGAATGGACTGACCCCGCGTTACATCTCAGACCTCATCCAAATTTGCACCCCAAGACCTGTCAAAGACCACAGGGTCCCGAGACCAGGACAAGATCAAGGCTTCTGAGGGTCGAGACCGAGAAAAGACTGAGACTTTTAAAGGTCGAGACCGAGACAAGACTGAAACCACGACCCATCGAGACCAAATCAAGACCAACTTTGACATTTCCTGCATTTATTTGTATTTTACAGTTATTTTGAGACATATTTATCAGTTGTTTTTTTTTTTTTTTTTTTTATAAATCTATCTCCTTTTGATCTGGTTAATGTTCATTTAAGCTTAAAATAGGCCAAGCAAACTGTACTGCACTGCAACACTGGGATGCCCTGGACCCTCATCCACAGTTTGAGAACCCCTTCTTTAATCCCACTTCCACTGGCACTTTACAGAAATCAACTTCAAAGTTAATCAAGTGTTTTTTCCTTCAAGTTCATAACATTTACAGTTACATTATCTTACAGGTTTTGCAGTGATATTTAGAAGCCTCTGCACATTTACCGGACGTAATGAAATACACTTGCACTTATCGAGTGTCGAGACCTCGAGTCCAAGACAAGAGCAAAACCAAGCTCCATCAAGACCAAAATAAGACCGAGTCCAAACGCGCTCAAGTCCGAGATGAGACCAAGACTGTGAAAAAGCAGCCTCGAAGCCGGTCTCAAGACCAAGACCAGTTTGAGTATTACAGCACTAGGTCTGAGGTCCAGCTCCAACTCCAGCTCATGGGGCTGGAGACTTTAAAAAAATATTTGTATTATTTATTGGTATTCTTGCTCTTGTTTGATTAGACTAGTTTTATTGTCTTAACAAGAACTAGTGGACTTAAAACTGGTAAAAAGGTCATACAACACAAACACATCTCAACATATTGACTAAAGAACCAGTTGTGCAGTTTCGTAGCGCCTTGGTGTGAGTTTTACAATGTTTTACAATGTTTGCGGCCAATAATTCAACTTTAAAAAACACCCATAAACCCAAAATAAACAGGTGTAGTTCAATATTCAGAAGTCACATTGTGGTCCTTTTGTTTTGTAATGTTATGAGTCTGACTTGCAGCTTATTCTCCAAACGTACATCCTACAAAACTTTCAAATACTCAAAACATTTAAATAATACAGATTCTAGGTCAGTTTATTACCTGTAGTCGTGGTCAAAATAAAAGTTGACTCGATATTCAGCACGTAAGATTTGTAGTAGCCGAAGTGTATCACATTGGCAGAGTGGTTTGCCTGTCTTTGAAGAGTCTGCATGTTTCTCACAGTGTCTGGGTCTCTGGGTAAACTGGAAAAAAAACAATATCTGTAAGTTAAAATGACTTAAATTAAGAACATTTTACTTTATTTTAGTCGATTCAACTTGACAAGTAAAATTATCTACCAAAGGAGTGTAATAAGTGTTTTCAGTTCAAGCAATGTTTGATTTTGTTTCTTATTTTAAGTGCAAAAAGTTGTTGTTTTTCTTATTTTAAGTGCAGCAACATGTATTTTCATATTTTAACAAGACAACAACAACAAAAAGTCTTGTTCCACTGGAGGATAATTTTACTCGTCAAGTGAAATTTACTCAAATCATGATAAAACTTTATTAATTCAAGTCATCTTAACTTGACTACATTTTGGTTTTTTTTTGCTGTGTGTATTTGACCCATTCTTCAGTGACGCTGGGGGAAGTTTCCAGAGCAGCGGCGGCTGTCGTGAGGAGCTCAGATTATCTTTAATAGGCTGGAAGTCCCGATAGCCCACGATATAAAATGATCTTCCCGTGGAACAAGACTCAGCAAGACTGATTATTTATTATCAGTTTTATTGTATGTTACCTTTTCCTGCTGTTCTGAAATTGCGCATTGCAACACTGGAATTTCCCCACTGTGGGACTAATAAAGGCATATTTTATCTTATCTTATCTTTTTGTACTTAAAATTTGAAAATACATCTGGCTGCACTTAAAATAAGAAACAAAATTGAAAGCTTGAATGAAGATTATTCCATTAATAGATAATTTTACTTCTCAAGTTGCATCTACTCAAAAAAAGTAAAATGTTCTTAATTTAAATCATTTTAACTTACCTAGATATTGTTTAGTTTGTTTGTTTTTTTGTTTTGGTTTGTTGTTGTTTTTTTCCCAGTGCAGAGGGTTAATTTACCTACAAACAACAAATCTGTATAAAAAACAAACTTGGTAAGTAATGGGGCCTTTATCATTTCAGCAAATCACATATATGAAATGTTTTTGTGCCGATTGGTTTAGAACGATGGTTTTGTGTGAAGTAAACGAATCAGAAGCTCAATAAACTTTCTTCATATTTTTAACAGACTCTAAACAAATGGGCGTGTCAAATTCCGATCACTAAATTCTAGGGATTTTATGGGTTTAAAATAATCAGTCTGTAAAGTTTTGTACTAAAGGCACATTTTTGAGGTAAGCGTGAAGTCGGTTCGTTTAAGCTCTGCCGCCATCTAGTGGTTGTTAGAGATTCTGAGCAGATTTACTCTTATTTTATTTATTTATTTCTTAATCGATGAGTGAATTCACGTTTGTAGGACATTATCAGTGTACATTACGGAGAAATTACACAAACAGGAAAAATAATTGTTAGCGTGGAGTCAATAAAAATGAGCAGTTTCATCCACATGCAAAGCCTAATTAATGCATCTAAAACAAAAACAAACAACAACAAAACATACTTTTTTTTTAATAACATAGAATTTACAGCACGTGTCTACTCTTGAATTCTATATTTTTTCCAAATCTGATCGCTACTACGAATGAAAATCCACGCACAGGGCGATTAATCGAGTTCTAATCCAGTGACATGACATTATTTAACTACACCAGTTTAAACGTGTAAATAACGATTATTATTATTTATAGAAAATTAAAAATGTCGTGTTTGTTTTACTTGTTGAACTTTGCATATGGTTTGATTTAAAAATTATTTGAGAGAAAGTACATTGGAGTCATCGCTGCTCTGCGATCTATTAGCTTTGCCTGGTTAAAATAAACACGATCTAATCTCCAGGCATTTCAACCAGGGGCGGGGCTTAAAGTTTCGCGTCACTCATTCAATTTCTCTTGGCAAAATTCCCTTTCATTTGCATGTCTGCTCAAGTATCTTCTCTTTCCTGTTTAAATGTGTAAAAAGAAAATGAAAATAAATAAATACACGCATGCATGAAGTTGAGTTTAGTTTTTTGAATTCAATTGAGGCCAAGAGAAAACTTCATGTTCATGTTTCGATTATTAGAAATGACCCGTACAGACATACAAATAAAAATTGATAGAAAACCATATGATCTGAACCATATGACACAGTTTAGAGTTCAGAGTTTAGAATATCAATAGTGTTTGATAAATAACAACTAACCGCTAAGTAACAGCTAATAAGCAAACAAATTACTACTTAGTTAGAAATAAATATGTGAAACTTAAACTAAAGTGTCACCTTACTTTCTTTACTACAGACGCAACAAGTTTAGAGTGACCAGACATCCATATTTACCCAGGACAGTCCCAGCTAAGGCTGTTTTTTTTTTTTTTACAAGAAATGTTCCAGGTGTCCCTGTTTTTGACCAGTGTGATCCCTGTGAATAGTAAAGAGAGTCATATATTGTCATTTGTTTAGTTAAAATGTGTCCTCTGACCAAGGTCCCTCAGATGATGCGTAGGAGGGACGCTCTTTCATAATTTTATGTTTACCAACCATCCCA